ATGTGCTCCTCACGCTGGGATTTAATTCCCAGCAGCATCWCTGGGAGTGGAGGGGGCTCCTGTGGCTGCTCCCAGTGCAGATCCCAGGGGACTCTGCCTGATCAAAAGTGCTACCCAGGAAATGTGAGCTGTCACTCATGGTCAGACCTTAATAAGTGCTGGATTCTTACTTAGAAACCCCTTTTAGTGGGGGAAAAAACTCCTACCATGTCCTCGTCTATCCAGTGGAGTAAAAGACAAATGTCCTGGRAGGGACTGTGGTCCACAAGCTGACAGCAGATCCCACACATCACATTTGTGGGATGCATTCTCCTTCTTCAGGAAGATGAAAGGTAAAAGAAGGGGGAAAGGCTATTCCTGATCAATTGCTGAAATAATTAAGTGCAGAGAGAGGGAGAGAGGAAGGAACCAGCTGTAAATCACCCAATGAACCCGTGCTGGAGCTGGGGATTAAGCCAAATTCTGCAAAATTCCAGTCAATTCCTTTGCCATGAGGCCACTGGCACTGCTGACCCCCTGCTCTGGGTGCTTCTGGGTGGGACAGCAGAGTGGGACAGTGGGACAGTGACACAACCAGGGATGGACAGCAGAGTGGGACAGTGGGACAGTGGGACAAGAGGGCATGGGCAGCAGAGTGGGACAGTGGGACAGTGGGACAAGAGGGGATGGGCAGCAGAGTGGGACAGTGGCACAGCCAGGGATGGACAGCAGAGTGGGACAGTGTAATTCCCGTGTAATTCCTGCCCTGGGCTGGGGTGGTGCAGGATGAAGAGGAGGAGGAATGGCTGGGGAGGATGAACAGTGAGCAGGGACAGGTTCCCACTCCTGCAGGTCTGCATTTATTTCTGTTCRTTCACTGCCAGTCAGAATCCATTTTCTTCATTTTTATTCTTCCGTGCTGTGGCACCTTTAAAATCCGTGGTACATTTAACATTTGATTTTCATTTAATACCTTTTAAAGTGATCTAATGCAGACAGATTACAGACAGTGAGGGTTACTGTCCTTTGGTGAAAATACCCTGTTTAATAAAATACTGTGAGACAGGCTGGCCCCTCCATGCATTAAAAAAGAAAGATATACTAAGTTTAGATGCTGTGGCAGTAAAACTTTATAGACTTATCAATTTTGGACAGCCATGCTCTCCTGAAGTTTTCAAATCACCTTRCAAAGGCAGCCAGCTCTCCTGGTTTGGAAATCAGAACCAGTTGTTTTTGCAGTTTGCAGTATTTAATGTAGATCTATGTAAATTGCTAGGGGAGGGGGAGGAGAAGGGTTTGATCTTAAAATATAATTTGGATTGTTCTCATCTTTTCTTGTAAAGGCTGTTTTGATCATTTGTTGCCACCTCCCAGTTTTCAAACATCTCAGTCTCAAAAAGTTCTGATACTTTTAAAGATAAGGATCAAATTTTATGTATTTTTGTCTCTTAGTTCTCATGCCTTTAACATTCAGGTTTGCAAACTTTCCCTATCAAAGGGCTTTAACATCTT